TAATGTAATCCCAATCAAAATCCCCATGACATTCTTCACAGAAATAGAAAAAAAAATTTTAAAAATCCTAAAATTCATTTGGAATCACAAAAGATCTCAGATATCCAAAGCAATCCTGAGCACAAAGAGTAATGCTGGGGAGACTGCCATATCATATCTCAAACTATATTAGAATTATAGTCATAAAATAGCGTGGTACTGGCATGAAAATGGATGTGTAGATCAACAGAACAAAACAGAAGACCTAAATATAAATGCACACAATTTCAGTCCCATGATATTTGACAAAGGTGCCAAGAACACACACTGGAGGAATGACAACATCTTCAACAAATGGTGCTGAGCAAACTGAATTTCCGTATGTAGAAGAATGAAATTAGACACATATCTATCACCTTGCGCAAAAATCAATTCCAAATGTATCAAAGATCTCAATGTGAAACCTGAAACTCCGAAATTGTTAGAAGAAAACACAGGCAGCACCCTCCAAGATACAGATTCAGTAAGGTTAAGGTCAACCATTGACAAATGGGACCTCAAGAAACTAGAAAGGTTCTGAACCTCGAGGGGTGTGGTGGTGCACACCTTTAATCCCAGCACTTGAAAGGCAGAGATAAGGCCGATCTTTGTGAGTTCCAGGCCAGCCTGGTCCACCTAGCAAGTTCCAGGTCTCCCTGGGGCTACAGGGAGACCCAGTCTCAAAAACAAAAACGATAACAAAAAGCTTCTGAACAGCAAAGGAAACAGCCAATTAGGTGAAGAGAAACACCAAAGAGTGGGAGAAAATCTCCAAATCTTCACCAGCTGTGCCTCTGACAGAGGGTTAACACCCAGAATATACAAAGAACTCAGAAAAAAAAAAAAAATGACCCAATTTAAAAAATGGGCCATTGGGGCTACAGAGATGGCTCAGTGGTTAAGAGCACACACTGCTCTGCTAGAGGACCTGAGTTTCATTCTCAACACCCACATCAGGAGGCTCATAACTACCTGCCACTCCAGTTCCAGAGTGACCCACCTCCTCTGGCCTCTGCAGGCACTTGCACCCATGTTCACAGGCACAAAGACACATATACATATAATTAAAAACAATAAAATAGGGCTGGAGAGATGGCTCAGCAGTTAAGAACACTGGCTGTTCTTGCAGGAAACTCAGGTTTGAATCCCAGCACCCACATGGCAGCTAACAACTCTGTAACTCCAATTCTGAGGATCCAATGGCCTCTTCTGTCCTCCTCCGGCATTGCACAACATGTGTGCACTTACCTACATTCAGGCAATACACTCATATACATAAAATAAAAATAATAAAATATTTTTAAAATAAATAGGGGCTGGAGACATGGCTCAGTGGTTGAGAGTGCTGACTGCTCTTGCAGAGGACCCAGGTTCGATTCCCAGCACCCACATGGCAGCTACAAACCGTCGTTAACTCCAGTTCCAGGGAAATCCGAAGACCTCTTCTGACCTCTGCAGCACTGCATGACATGGGTGCACTCACATATGTTGGGGACCCCTGCTGTTTTGGGTTGTAGTCTCTCCATGTCCAGATAGCCGCAAGCCGTCTCGGCGCAAATGGAGAGACTCCTCTTCTCAGCGGGGCGCCTTCTGCTCTCCTTCCTGACTCACCTTTTTAAGAGCCGGTCACAGATACATGTCCTCCGGCACAGAAACTGCCAGGTCTTTCCTGTGTGATAATCAGGCACTGTGTGACAGCCTGACAGAAGCCCACCACCACATGTAAATGGGGCATCCTACAAAGCACCTATCAACTAAGGCTTTTGCTACTGCCTCCACACTATAAATATCCTGGTTTCCCCCTAATAAATCGGAGCTGTACCACTGAGTCTGACCGAGCTGTATCCTGTGTCTTACTGCCTACGATTCAGTCTCCCCGGAGGGGCCTGTCCCTTACGATTCAGTCTCCCTGGAGGGGGCTGTCCCTTCGTAAACAACCACTCGCGAAGATCTTGCTTTCGCCGTTCTTGCACCTCCCCTTGTGATCCGGTGGCCGACGGATCGGTACACAGAGGGAGCGCCAGCAGCTTGGAACAGAACCCGCCCGGGCAGCTGACAGCGGCCGGCAGAGCCGCCAGCTCCCGGCAGAGCCGCCAGCTCCCGGTAGCCGCGGGGAGAACCAGGGACCTGCACAGCAGGGACCCGCCCCAGCGGCGCGGGAGAGACCAGCGCCGCGCCAGCAGCTGGCGCTCCGAGATCCCCGCGCACCCACACACATATATGCAGGCAATACACTCATACACATAAAATAAAAATAATAAATAAAATGTTTAAAAAATAAATAAACAGTAAATAAATCTTTTGAAAAATAGGCTATGGATCTGAGCAGAGAGATCTCAACCAAAGAAATATTAAGTGGCTAAAAAAACACCTTAAAAAGTGTTCAACATCCTTATAATTTGGGAAATGCAAATCAAAACTATTTCAAGATTTCAGAATTTGGCCAGGCATGGAGGTACATGCCTTTAATCCCAGCACTCAAAAGGCAGAGGCAGTCAGATCTCTCAGTTCAAGTCCAGTCTGGTCTACATAGTGAGTTCCAGGCCAGCTGGGACTACAGGGTCTCAAAAAGACAAATAAATAAATCTAAAAATAGGGGCTGGAGAGATGGCTCAGCAGTTAAGAGCACTGGCTGCTCTTGCAGAGGACCTGGGTTCAATTCCCAGCACCCACATGGCAGCTAACAACCTTCCATAATTCCAGTTCCAGGGAATCTGATGCCCTCTTTCTGACCTCCACAGGTACTGCATGACACAGGTGCACTTACATACAGGCAATATGCTCATACACATAAAAATTTTTAAAATTCATTTAATTAAAATTTTTTTATTTATTATTTTTATTTTATGTGTATGCATGTATTGTCTGCATGTAGGTAAGTGCACCCGTGTCATGCAATGCCCATAAGAGGTCAGAAGAGGCTATCGGATCCCCTGGGACTGGAGTTACGGACAGTTGTTAGCTGCCATGTGGGTGCTGGGATTCAAACCCAGGTTTTCTGCAAGAACAGCCAGTGTTCTTAACCGCTGAGCCATCTCTCCAGGCCTTAATTAAATTTAAAAAAAATAAATCTACTATATGAGCTGGTTATACCACTCCTTGACACCACTCCTTGACACATACCCAAAGAACTCATCTACTGCAGAGATTATCTGTACAACCATGTTTGTTGCTATTCTTTTCACAATAGGTAAGAAATAGAAACAACCTCATTGTTGTGCCTCAACTGATGAATGGCTAATAAAAATGTAATACATCTACATAATGGTATTCTACTCAGTGGTAAGAAAAACGAAATCCGCTGGAGAGATGGCTCAGCAGTTAAGAACACTGACTGAAAAATAATAAAATATTTAAAGAAAAAAGGGGGGGCTGTAGAGACAGGACATATTTCAGACACAGGATGTATAGCAGTCAAGCTAGAACTAAACTGGAAGCTCCTCCATGAAAGACTAGCTCTCATGGTATCAGAAGGTACTATGTAAGCTGCCAAAGGAGAAAACCAATTAATGGTTCTACCCAGCTATAAAACCTAATAAACACAACAACTGACCCAGCTAACTCTCTCTATTGGTGCAGTATGACACTTTTATTTGGGGGGTACTCAACAACTGTCTAATTAGACTTAAGTCCTGCTCAATGAGAAGGAACCCATGTATGGTACTGCAAACATAGCCAAATACACATGGCTGGAGATCTCATAGATCCTAGAGAAAAACCTGTTTTTGTCATATTCCTAGACTAATTTCTTGCTGTATTCTAAATATGTATCCTTATATTTATAGACAAGTATACCTCTCACCACTCATCAAAAAACCTTCTTTCGGCAACAGAGACCATTACAGAGTTCCACAACTAGTCAAACACAGAGAATAAGTGTGATATGCCCAGCCCTAAGTGACACCTCTGCACCAAAATCCCTGCACTCAAGGCTCAGGGAACATAGTGGAACACAGGGCAGAAAAAAATATTAATATTGGGGGCTGAAGAGATGGCTCAGCAGTTAAAAGCATTGGTTGCCCTTGCAGAAGACCTAGATTCAATTCCCGGCACCCACGTAGCAGCTAACAATTATTTGGTTTTGGGGTTTTTTGGTTTTTTTTATCTTTTTGAGACAGGGTCTCCCTGTAGCCCCAGCTGTCCTGGAACTTCCCATGTAGACCAGGCTGGCCTTGAACTCACAGAGATCCACCTGCCTCTGCCTCCGGAGTGCTGGACAACTATTTGTAATTCCAGTTCCAGGGGATTTGATGCCCTTTTGACCTCCTTGGGCAGTGCACGACATGGGTGTACTTACATAGATGGAGACAATACACTCATACACAAAATAAATACAATAATTTTTTTTTTGTCTTTTTGAGAAAGGGTTTCCCTGTAGCTCCAGCTCACCTGGAACTCGCTATGTAAACCAGGCTGGCCTCGAACTCACAGAGATCTGCCTGCCTCTGCCGCCCAAGTGCCGGGATTAAAGGCGTGCACCACCACGCCTGGCCCTAATAAAAATATCTTTTTAAAAATATTAATACATCTCATGCCGGGTATGTAGTGGTGCACCCATTTAACCCTAGCACTCAGGAGGCTGAGGCAGGCAGATCTCTGTGAGTTCAAGGCCAGCCTGGTCTACATAGTGAGTTCCAGGACAGAGACCCTGTCTCAAAAAGACCAAAAAAAAAAAAAAAAAAAAAAAAAAAAAAAAAAAAGATTCCTTTACAAAAATGAAGATACCAGCCCAGACATCAAGAGAGGGAAGGGCTCACAAAAGCCTCCCCATCGCAGCATTGGACAAGACTTGGAGTAGAGGTAGGCAAGTGCCCCTCAGAGCTCTGGACACTATCACCTTGACAACAAGAAGCCACCAACTGAGCACGTCTCATCAGAAAGCTAACAGCTCCTTAACCAACTAAGCTTCCCGTGCTGGCCTCCAAGGGAAACCCCAACCCTGTGAGGTCACACCTTGGGGGGTAAAGCCGGCAGGCTGGGAAGGGATTGAGAAAGAAAGTGTGGTGCCCTCTCCTCCACCTGCACTACCAAGTAAGGGCAAGGAAGAAGGGAAGGTGCAAAGTTTGGGGGCCGGATAGCTTTGCTCTGGCTCCCCGGGGTCTGGAGCCAGTTCATACACAAGTCTCCTCTGCACCCTCCATCCCTCCGGCCTCCGCTCTCGCTCAGTCAGGGACCCAAACCAGTCCACGCGCTTTTCTCAAACTCGTCAACCCAGATCCAGGAGGCGAAGCCCAAGTGCCAGCCTGCAAGCAAGGTCACCCGAGCCCGCGAGAGGCTCCGGTGTCTCCTGTGCCTAACTTCAAAGTCCACGAAGCGTGGGTAAGTTCCTTCCCTATGGCCTGACCGTCTTCACGGTAGGTCTACCTGCCCAACAGGTTGCACGAACCACAACTTCGGTCAGGTTTCTCAAGAAACGCCCCCGCGAGGCCTGTTCTGCAGGCCCCTGCCGACCCTCAGTTCCACAGGCCGACCTGGCCTACTCACCGCCGCAGAGGCTCCGCACAGGCTCCCCGACTCCGGCAGTGCCAAGCCTCGGCCGGCCAGCTCCTGAGCTCCCACCCGAACCCAACCCGCCCTCGCGCCGCCGGTCCGCCTCACCTGGAGCCCGGCTGGAGACACTCTGGCTCGGGCCCAGACGACCCTCCGGCCCAGCGCAGCTTCCAGCGCCACGGGGGCGGACCCCGCGCCCAGCTTCGCCATGGCAACGCGACACTTCCGGCCCGCGTCGTTGGAGCGGAAACCGCGGTGCCGGGTGGGATTCCTGAGCAAAGCCACTCTGCAAGGGCGGGGCTTAAGAAGCGGCCTCTAGGGGCGGGGCTAACGGACGATCTCCAGGAGCGGGGCTTAAGGAACAGCCTCCGGGGGCGTGGCCTCTCCCGGGTGATTGGCGGGTGTTGTGGAAGGCGTCTGTAGAGCGCGGTTTCCGTGGCTCAGCATCCTCCCGTCCCGGGTGGGGCACGAAGAACAAGGGTTCAGGTGCTCCTGAAAGAGTGACCTCTACTTATGTTGAGCTTTGAAGGAAGGGTAGGGGTCCACCCTCAAAACAGGAGCATCGTAGGTGGGAGGAGGGAGCCCCGAGTGCCAAGGCCGTAGAGCTGGGACCATACCTGAGGATGGGCCCCAGGTCGGGTGGTGGTTAGGGGCCTGGGACACTGTGGTCTGGGAAGCAGCCAGGGGGAGGGGCCTTGAATGCCAGACGCTAGGAGCCAGGTGTTACCTTGGAAGCAAGAAAGACTAGTGGAAATTTCGCCCTCAGACACGTAGGAGAAGAATAACCTCTGCCGAATGGAGCGGGGTCCACAGGTATTTGCCTAGGGAGACAAAGGAACCCTCAGAGCCCTGGGAATGGAAAAAAGAGGCAGAGATGATAGAATTCGAAGGGACGACTCGTGAGATCTGAAAGAAGTCTGAGACAGGGTCACAATCCAGCCAGGGGTGGTGCTGGCAGGAGGGGTGAGGTCCCCCTGCTTTCATCCTCCACACATACCCCAGGATCCCTCCTGAAGTCATGCTGTGCCTTCCCCTGCCTCTGTTTCTCAATTCTTTGAGGTATAATGAGGAGAGATTGCACAGGAAGAGGTGAATTCTCAAAGTGCTTAGTGCTCCTGTAGGTCTGGGACTCTGAGGAGCCCTAGTACCACCACCAACCACTGCTGTCAGTGGCCTGACTCAGACCCTCATGGCAAACCTGTCCTGTATAGCCAGAGTACTTAAGTGGTGACTGAATCCAGGGGCAGAGCCACCAGTTAAATGGCCAAGGAAGTGATGGGAGCCCACCTGTGCCTACTCCTTGGACAATCACTTAAGTCCACTGTATTCCTCCCCTCTTACTTCTGGAGCAGGCTGCATGCACTTTTGGCCCTGAAGCCTCCCAGATCAAATCCTGGATGGAAGACCCCTACACACACACACACACACACACACACCTTGGGATTGAGTTCTTTTGGCTGCTTTGTCTTGAACTCCAGGAAATTCCCTAACCCTCCCTGGTAAGTTTGACCAGGCGAGTCACTTCCCATCTATTAAATGGGAGCTAGAGACCTGCCCCAGGCTGATAAAGTAATCCTGGGGTAGACCCTTTCCAAGGGCTTTTCCTTCCAGATTGTAGGGAAAGCCCAGGCACCCAAAGGCAGCATGGTAGTGGGGAGTATGGCTTCAGGGGGTAACCAAAAGTCCCCGCAAGAATCTTTCCTGCCCCTCCCTCCTAGATTAACTGAAACCTGCTAATTGTGGCAGCCCTCAAAGCTCCCCTCCCCCACAGCTTCTTCCTCCTTCCCCTCCCCCTTCCATCCGAATGATAAAGGGCCAGGCCTGCCTGTCCCAGCATGGCCTCAGGCCAGGACCCAGCCTCAGCACACGGTCCAGCTCCTCTGAACCCTCTGCTAGACCAGGCTCCTGCCCTGGCCTGCCCCCCTTGCATGGGACCCTGCCGCGACTCTCGCCTGGGGCCACCAGAGGTAGAATCTCCTTCGAAGCCCCCGAAGAGAAGGAAGAAGAGATACTTGCGGCATGACAAGCCCCCCTACACCTACTTGGCCATGATCGCCTTGGTAATTCAGGCCGCACCCTTCCGCAGGCTGAAGCTGGCTCAGGTGAGAGGCTCCCTCATCTCTGTGGGTCATACCTTTTCCAGATCCATTCCCTACTCTAGGCCCAGGCTTGGCCTCCATGTAGTCCACTCTGTCTTGCCAACGATACCAGTCCTGAGAGCTAAGGAACTTATGTACAACCCTTATCCCACCCCCACCCTGCCCTCAGGTACAAAAGCCCACCTCTGTGGGAAGGGGTACCTCAAGTTGGCTGTCGGGAGGGAGAGGGTGCTGCTCACAAACATGTCTCACAGTGGCAACCACCTCCTGGTTTCAGATAATCCGTCAGGTCCAGGCTGTGTTCCCCTTCTTCAGGGAAGACTATGAGGGCTGGAAGGACTCTATCCGCCACAACCTTTCCTCCAACCAGTGCTTTCGCAAGGTGGGGATCAAAAGGTTTTGACCCTCCGGGAGGGAAAAGGGGGATTGGACAGGGGTAGGGAGGACCCGGTGCGGGATGGATGTGGAAACCCTGAACCTCCGGGATTGAATGGCTACACCGCACCCAAGCCTACCATTCTTCAGGTGCCCAAGGACCCTGCAAAGCCTCAGGCCAAGGGCAATTTCTGGACGGTGGATGTGAGCCTGATCCCAGCAGAGGCGCTGCGCCTGCAGAACACTGCCCTGTGCCGGCAGTGGCAGAACCAGAGTACACACAGAGCCTTCGCCAAGGACCTGAGCCCCTATGTGCTGCATGGCCAGCCCTATCGGCCACCCAGTCCCAGGTCATCATCCAGGGAAGGTTTCAGTATCGAGTCCCTGCTAGGGGACCCAGGAAAGGAAGCAACGTGGTCACTGCAGCCCAACCCTGTTGAACAGAGCAGCCCAGCTCAGTCAGGCAACTGGTCCAATAGGGATGAGGTGGTGTCTACTGCACCCCAGAATGCCTCTGAGAAGCCTCTGTGGCCCCTCTGCTCCCTTCCAGGGCCCACAAGAGTGGAAGGGGAGACTTCCCAGGGAACAGTCTTCAGGCCCTCTCCCCTCTCCCCAGAGCCGGCGTCCTGGCCCCTCCACTTATTGCAGGGTTCCCCAGACCACATGAGAATGTCCAATGGAGGATGCAGGGCCTCCCTATGGGGACAGCTACCTACATCTTACTTGCCCATCTACACTCCCAATGTGGTAATGCCCTTGGCCACACTACCTCCCACCTCCTGCCCCCAGTGCCCATCTTCAACCAGCCCAGCCTACTGGGGGGTAGGTCCTGAATCCCGAGGGTCCCAGGGCCTGCTCTGTGATCTAGATTCCCTCTTCCAAGGAGTACCACCCAACAAGAGCATCTATGATGTGTGGGTCAGCCACCCTCGGGACCTGGCTACCCCTGCCCCAGGTTGGCTGGTCTCCTGGTACAGCCTGTAACATCCCAGGGCAGACAGGCTGCTTCTCGCCTTCCCACGGATACCAGCTTGATGGAGAATCTGAGCTAGAAGCATGTCCACAGCCACAACAGCTTTGAAACACCAGGCATAGCCTTGCTGAGAATTCATAACTTTTATTGGACTACTCCAGAAAGGGTTGTGGCCCAGCTAGAGACGACCCTGGGCCTGGCCAGTCATGCCTCTGCCCCTCCCACACCCAGGAACTAGGCTGAAGAAGCAATAGTAGCCCCTCTTTTCTTGGGCTCTCATGCCATCCATCACACTCTTGGCTGCCCCTCCTTGGCTCCAGGCTGGGGGAGGGGAAGAAGAAGGCAAAGGTGCGCCCAGCTTGAAGTCCTGCCCTCCCTCATCAGTCTGGGAAGGAGATAGCACCTTTTGGGGAAAGGGTCAGGAAATGAAGAGACTGGACACCTCAGTCTCTTCTTTTGGGGGTGATGGAAATAGGGGAAACAACAGTAAAGGAATTTACAACATTTTAATGCCAAGTCTGATTTTGGGGGAAGGGTGGTGACTTGGGAAGCCACTTGGCTGGGGTCTGGGGTCTGGTTCCTGCAGCTCTAGGATCCCCTGCTGTGTGCTGTGATAAGGGCAAATGGTGATAAGGAGAGAGCTAAGGGCCTGTGGCCTAACTGGGGGCGGGTAGAGGGATAGAGGCAATCATTTCTCCAAGCATAAGATTTCCTGGCCTGGCCAAAACGGTGGAGGGGCAATTCTGGGACTCTGGGGCAGTAGGTCCCCAGAGTTCAAAAAGGTTGCCCTAGGAGATGGGGTATAGGAAATTCAACTGCTGCCTCTGCCAGCAGAGGTGGGTTCTGAAGCCCACTAGGCAGGGCCTCAACCCAGGACTAGGGAGGCAAGTCCCTTGGAGGCTCAAGAGTCAAGCCAGAGCAACTGTCAGGGTCAGAACTTGGAGGGCTGCCAGGAGATGGTGTAGGGGTGCAGGAGGTGCCAGTGAGTGGGGTGTCAGTACCGAGAGAGGAAGGGGTTCTAGGGCGGCGGGCCCTGTGGCGCTGGGCTGGCCCCAGCTCCACTTGACCCACTCGCTCAGCAAACTTGAGGGAGCAGACAGTCTCTCCAAGATCTTCTGGCCTTGTGGAGATCTGCAAGAGAGGAGAACTGTGCATGGTCCCGGTGGGAGACACCTCAAATTCTCCTCAGACCTGCGCCAGCCCAAGAACCCACCTGTAGCAGCAGCACCGCTGTGGTGCCAGCCCCAAGTGCTGGCTGCAGCAGGCGCGTGAGCTGTGAGTCGCGGAAGGGCACATGCGGCCGCCGGGCTCGCAGTGCAGCCATCACTCCTCCTAGTGCCAGCAAGGAGCGGTTGATAGCTTGGGCCTCCCGCAGGCGCTGAGCACCATTCGGATCTCTCTGTGGAGTGCTGCCCACCCCTGCTTTCCACACACGCTCGGATCCTGCCAGGTCAACCAGATGCAGTGTGCCTGCAGAGGCAAGTGAGCCTGCTGTGGAAGGAGACCAGATCTCCGGGTGATCTGGAAACCCCTTATAGCTCAGATACAGCCAGTGATACCTGTGGTGCCCAAGACACGAGATGGAGATGCTGCCTGCAAAGTCAGTGTAACTAGGGCGTGGGAGCGTGAGCTGTGCTGGTTCATGACAGTGGCTGCTGTAGCTCTGCTGCTTCTCCCCAGACTCAGCATCTAGAGGGCAGAGCATCAGGGCTAGCCTGATATACAGGTGGGAGCACAGATGGGGGCCCTAGAGGACAGCCTTACCTGGTGTAGTGTTTCCAGGTTGGGTACATCCCAGTGAGTGAGGCCAGCTACCTGGATTCCCCCCAGTCCTGCAGGACCCTGCCTCACAACCAGGCGCTCTGGAGGCCCTGGGGCTAGGAGGTCCCTAATAAGAAAGAGCAGGTTTGGTTCTGTGAGTTCTTGGGGAGACCAGAGAGCCCAGCAGCAAGAAGGAAGCCACTGCCCCCCAACACACACATGCACACAAACACACGTGCATGCATTCCTGACCTGACTGTCTCATTGTAGATCTCCACCATGCTGAGGGTCACATGGTGCTGCCCTCCAGTCCCCATCTCCTGGAACAGCAACTGCAGTGCCCTAGGAGCTATGCCAGGGTCCTCAGGTGGGCCCTAAGGACAAGTGCAATACCATGATGGAATCTCATACAAGCTCCTGAGGCGCCCCCTCTGAGGTTTCCAACCCACCTCCATGCTGTAGGTCTTCCCAGTGCCTGTCTGGCCATAAGTGAAGATGCAGACACTGTAGCCCTGGAGGCAAGACAGTACAGCTGGCTCTAGCTGCCTAAAGACCTGAGAACAAAAATGGATGGAAGTGTCTTGAGCCCCTCCTTATTCCCTCTTCAGAAGCTGGAAGGGTAGGAAGTGCAATGAACAAGATAGGTGCAAAGTGTAACTCCCATAGGAAGTGGCTCCAAGGGATGGTTGTGTGGGGAGTGAGGAGGGGGGTCATAAAGCAGGTGCCTTTTGCCTCACTGGGAAAGGAGGCATTTGCAAGAATTGGCCAAGGAATAAAGGGAAGACATAACATAAAGGGACGACAGACTAGCAGAATGTGGAGTCCTGAAGACTAGGGTGGCCTGAGGAGTAGTGATCAAGAGCTCAGATGCTGAACTGCCAAGTTTGAACCTGATGTCACTAGAAGCCAAATACGAATTATCCTTTCTATGCCTTTCTGGGTCATTCCCTCTATGGCACCCAATGGCAATGTGTGATGAATAACCAGAGCAGTACTTGACATGAAAAAATAAACCTAAGAGGGGACTCTGTGGGCACAGGTGATAATGACCAGCCAGGACTACAGGAGCTCAGGCTCTGAGAGGTGGCTGAGAGGGATTTGAGGCTGAGACATTCATAACATTGGACACAACTGTTGTGGACACACGATAATAGCCTTTTGAACAATAACATAGCCAGCTTTCATTCCAGAAGGTCATTAGAAACTAGGCAGCTATCACCTTGATGTCTTGGCTGATATTCATATAAACAAAGTCTAGAATTATCAGGGTAAGGACTAAAATTCCATGAGTGGGTGGTACAAAAAGTGGGGTTCACAGGTGAGAAGCTTCATGAGAGATGCCTTTGATCCAGATGCATTAGATCAAGGATCCAGTCCAGGGCTGCCCAGAGTGCAGTGAACAAGGGAGCCTGCATGGCTGCAGTTTGGAGTGGGAGCTCAGGCCAGGGAGATGTATGGGACAGACAGGTAGGAAACCAGTCAGTGGTGGGTCTGTCCCTGCTGCATTACACTGTCCCCGTGAGGCCAGCAGGCCTGGATCTTCCCTGCCAGCTCTGTCCCTTACCGAATCCCTTCTCAGCTCTGAGCCTCTGTCTCAGTCACAGAAGCTCCAGCAGCACAGTTTGTGTGCAAAGGGAGACTGTGTGTGAAGCAAGTTGGGGTGAACTGCTTTTCCACTGATGTCTGGCCAGAAAAGAGGGAAGAGTAGGATCAGGACAGGGCAGTGGGGAAGCGCTGGGGCTGACAGCTGCCCTGCTTGCTTATCACCTAGGCTCCAGCCTAACCTGCCTTGGGGTTACAAAGCAAGGAAGGACTCTGCCCTTACAGGTGGGCACAGTCTGGATCCTGGGAAGGAGGAGGGGTATGTCAGTGAAGCCTGAGATGAAGAGGCTCCAAGCCATCACCCATAGGATCACAGCCCTGCCTACAGCAGTGTAGCACCGTCCATGCTTCGCAGTCAGTCCTACACAAGCAGTTAACTCACCTTGCACAGTTTTGTTTTCCTTAGCACTCAGCTGGGCTGCCAGTCCTGCCTCCAAGGCCTTTCAGTGGCTCCCTTCCCTGCTGGAACTCAGCCACCCTCCCTCCAGGTGCCCAGACAGACATGGAAGGGGAAATGAGCCTCTTCCGGACCCAGGGGAACTCTGAGGAAGGGTCAGGACAGGTGCAAAGGTGGCTGTCACCTCCTCCTGGCTCGTATCTGGAGGAAAGACCCAGTCTAGACGAAAGCGACGCTGGCGCCCTCTATAGCAGGTGGTGATGGTCCCCCCCTGTCCAGGTTCCAGGCTCACCAGGCTGGAGGGTGTGCTTCCAGCTGGCCTCAACCGGCACAGCACACGGATATTCCCTGCAGTGGGAACCACATAAACAGATTGTCTCCTTACCCCTGAAGCATGGAGGGCTCCACTTCCTCCACCCTGCAATCCCTACTCACTGATGCTCCCCTCCCCAAGCCAATCTTACCCCTGAGTTCCAAGAGCCGCCCTGGGCATCCAGTTGGGGGCCCCTGCTGCCCTTCGGGGACCTGAGTCCCAGCCCCTCCAGCTGACAGAGCCCCAAGGGCCCAGGATACCTGAGGGAATAAGAATGTGAAGAAGACAAAGACAGGTGTCCAAGCAGCTCCAAGTGGGTTGGGGTGCTGAGAGCAATATGGCCTAGTTGTGGTGATTTTGGTAGATGTGGGCCTCTGAGGGTGCCATTCAGTGGATCTTGGATAGAACCTGTGAATCATAAGCAAGAACATCCTATCATCTGTCCTTTCAGACTTCTTAGCAACTGTTAGTTTGCAAAGGATAGAAATTAGGTCACTTTGGGTCACTCAGAAATTATTCTGGCCCCAGTGCCTACAGCTGACCCACTGGTACTGGTAGCTCCTAAGGGATAGGGACAAATAGCAATAGGGACTCTCCTGAGAATAAGAGTGAATAAGCTGACCATAGAAAAGGTACTAGGAGAGGAGGGATCCTGACCTGGCCCTGGGCCTCACTTAGCGAACCCTGATAACTCTGGGTAAAGTTGCTGACCAGTCCTCGGAGGTCCCCGCAGCCCTGACGGAGGCTGGCCATCCTTGCTCGAAGTCCTAGAGGGGGAAGGGCATTGAGAAGGAAAGTCCAAACCCCAGGGCTTTCCCAGAAGCCACTTCCTCCTAGTCCTTACCTGCAAGTTGTCCATGTACCTGCTGCAGCTCCTGTCTGCAGTTCTGCTCTGTCTCCTGCTGGAGCTGCTGGAGGGCACCTCGAAGACCCTGCAGCTGCACCTCCTGCACCCCCAGCTGGCCCACCCAACCCCGTTCCTGTCACTGAGGAAACAAGCACCAGTCCCTGACCCAGACTTCCTCTCCCAGCATCCCAACCCTCCTTGTCCCTAGGTCTCCTATCCCACCTGGACTCGGAGGGCTTCTGTGGTGTCTTGGGCCACTTGAAGCTGGCCCTGGAGCTCCAACAGTGTCTCAGTCTCCTCCTGTAGGAGAATGGGAGCTAGGTGGACCATGGAGCCATATGGAAACTCAGGAAAGGGTATTCTATAGCTCTATTTCACAGCTAAGAAGACCAAGTCAAGTGGCAAAAACAGCTGAACCATGCTGCCCAACTTTGTGCAAGATTCCTTTTCTTAGTCCCTCTGTTCTCCTACATTTCTTCAGTGAGCATCAACTTCCTTAATGGTGCTACTTTACAAAGATCATCCCAGGGTAACCTATAGTTAGAGATGGCCCACTGGCAAGGTCCCTTGCTTCAGCAAGCACAAAATCCTGAATAGGCTTAGGTACTGTGGTTGAATGCCAGATGTGCAGGAATCTGGGCTGCAGGGACCCTAGCAGCCAAGGAGCGCAGAGTACCTGTGGCGCTCTGGTCGGGGGGCCTGGTCCCCAGTGCAAAAGGAGGTCCCGAGTGAGGCTTAGGCTCTGTTTCAAGGCCTCATTCTCCAGTGTGAGATGCTGAACTCTCTTCTCTGAATCTGTCACCCCCTGGCAGAGAGGGATATGTCAGGACTCCTTGAAATTCCCTTGACAGTTTAGCCTGTTTTCCGGCACCCACCCCAGTAGTCTCACCACTCCCAGACGCAATCTGCTCAGCTCTTCCTCCTGCTGCTCCAGCTGTTGTCGCAGCTCTTCTAGCTGTGGAGAAGTCAGGGGACTGGATAGAATTTCTTGGGGCGGGGATGGGGGGGGGGGTGGGGGGGGCTCACACCTACCCAGCCCCTGCTACTCATGAACCCCTCACCTGTCCTAGAATGAGCTGCTCCAACCTCTGCCAAGCTTTCTGCTCCTCCTCCAACAGCAGAGTCTGCGGTTCCTGGGTCTCATCCCTTGGTACCTCACCCAGGGTGGGAATGGGATGAGAGGAGCTTTCTTCTTGTGACAAAGATCCTGGAGAGGGGTGAGCACAATTAGAGCTAAGGAAATGTCTGGTTTAGACAGCAGAGCTGATTTTGAAGAGCCTGGCTCCTTCCACAAACGGTGGTCCCCTTTACAAACCATCTAGAGTGGAAGGCTGCAGTGGACAAGCTGGCTGAGTCTCCTGGAGCAGGGCCTGCCTCCCCCTGGGGCTTCGTATCCATGCCAGAAAGGCCAAGAGCTGACTTGTTACTGTCAACAGTGGGGGGACCTCACCAGGCTGTGAAGGAGATAAGAATCAGAGCAGAAGAATCGGGGTGGTGAGGGGCAAAGAGGCTGGGGAAAGATGAGTGACTATTGTAGACTGCCCTGCTCACCTTGCCTAAGTCAGGAGAATTCCCGCAGCTCTCCTCTGCCCCCAACTGGAGGGAAAGGAACTCAGCAAGGCGCATAAGAGCTTCTTCCAGGGACACCTCAGCTGTGCCACCCTCCGCTCCGCCTTTCCGCCCATCCTCAGACTCCGAGCAGCCTACGAGCCCAGGAGGTGGAAGAGAAGGACATATTGGAGGCTAGGCCTTTTCTCCCTACCAATTAGGTACACTGCACTCCTATTGCGGGGGGGAGGGGGCAAGACTCTCCCCGCACCTCCTCGGCCTGCACCTACCCGCGAGGCCCGTCAGCTCGGTCCACAGTTCTGACGTGAGTTGATCCGGGCGACGACGACCCCTGGGTTTGCAGCAGCCTCTCTGAGGACAGAGCATGGGGTGCCCCTGAGAAGGAGAGGTAGCCTGTGTGGCTCCTTCCCTTATGGAATGAGCCAAGGGGTTGGGGCGACGTCTGTGCTTCCAACAGCTGGACTGGGACGGAAGTGGTCTCCTCACAGGCCACTCCCCAGTGCCAGCGCCCAGAGGACGTAAGCTGCACCGGCCTGGCACCACCAGGTCTCACGGTGGAGGTGGCAAGGCCACCGCGATACAGGCCCACTCCGCTCACCTGTGCCGGGTCGCTGGGCTCCGATGCCGCCGCAGCCCCGCCATCCCTGCGGAAAAGGCTGTAGAAAATGTAGATGAGCAACGAGTAAAAGGCGTACATGGGGGCGCGGGGCGGCAGAGAGCCCCGCTTCGCGCCGCCCCGCGTCCCGGCAGCAGGACTCCGCACCAGCCTGCCGCAGTGCCTATGCGCATGCTCGCAGCAGCCGCCCCCACCGAGGACGCGGGGCGGGCGCCAGGACCCACAAAGCCGGCCCTTTCTTCAGGCCCTGCCACGCGGGCTTCAGGCCCCACTTCGCAAACAGAGGGCGCACAAAGCATGTACCACCGCCTCACCTCCTTTGGGGATCCCTGCCAGCCTCGGCTGAGACCCCACGGCGCCTACACTGAGACCTCAGCGTACAGGTGTACAAGCCCTCCGCCCCTGGTGGCCCCGCCCAGGGGCCGCCCCTGCCTGGGAACCCCGCCCCTGTCCCCGCCCAGACCCCGGGTCTAGCACAGCCTCGCCCCTCCTCTCACAGCCTAATCGCTCTCCTCGGAGCCCTGCCTCTCTGATCACAGCTCTGCCTAGACTCTCCGACGCCCCGCCTCTCCTCGCTGATCTTGGACTCGTCCCAGTCCCGGTGCCCACTGCAAGCCGGTACGGAACCCCTTCAGGTCCTGAAGTTTCCCCTTCCAGCCTCACTCCTCTCCAGCCCTCCACCGGCCCCCCCAGGCCCCGCCCCCGCCGCTCTAGCCGGAGCTCTTCTCGCTGGTGGCGGCAGGCCGCGCTGGTGCAGGCGACCGGAGGACCAGCCAAGGAGGCGGTACGGACGGCGGAGGGCAGGTTCGGGCCTTCAGCTCCGGGTGGCCTGGTGCTGCGCACTGTCATCCGCCCACAGACTTGCGCCCTCGCTCCTTCCCGACCCAGGCGCTGAGGACCGTGCCTCGCCAAGTGCTGGGATCAGGGACAGGCCGCAGCGAGGGCCTGCGTGCCCGGCCGTTTCGTGCGTGTCTTTGACCCGGTTCTCTACTTGGGCGCACATCCTCTCAGCCCAGACTCCAGTCCCATTCCCTCTCCCAGGCAAATTAGTCCTTCTTCCCCACAGGTATGTGCAGTGGCCTCAGGCTTTGGGATCGAACCTATTCTAATATCTACTCAAAGGACTCTGCAGCTTGAAATTACTGGAGAGCTGCACTAAAGACTCCAGATCACCGGCTTCTGTCCATTCTCTCCAAAGCTGAAGTTCCCCTACCTGACTTCAAACTCACAGCTGTGTGAGGTGCCATGGTATCCAAGCCTAGGAGTGACTGGAGCATGGTCCTGTCCCACCTGGTGCTGGGAGTGGTGTCTCTGCATGCAGCAGTGAGCTCTGTGCAGGTGAGAATACTTACTGTCCACACCCTAACTTCCTAGATCCCTGCCCTAGAGAGAGGGTGGTAAAGTGGGAGGCACCTCAGAGGCCAGATGTCCATGACAGCCCCAAACCCTTTCCTGTTTAAAAGGGTGGCTCCTGACTGCTTTTCCTTCACATGTCTTCCTTTCCCTATGTCAACAGTCCAGTCGAGGGTCTGCTGCAGGCTTCCTGCTCCAGGCCCTAGCTGCTGTCACAATGCTGGCCCCAGGGCTGGGCACACATGAAGACTGTCTCGCTGGAGCTTGGGTTGCCACAGTCATCGGGCTGCCCCTTCTGGCCTTCGACTTCCACTGGGTGAATGGGGACCGCTCTTCCGCAAACCTGCTCCTCGGAGGAGGCATGGTGCTGGCAGTGGCTGGTGATCACCTTGGCCCTGAAGGCTGCTCTGTGGCTGGGCAGGCAGTACTGCTGGTAGTCGCAGTAACCATCCTTATCGTAGCTGTTTTCACAGCCAACACTTATGGGATGTGGGGGGGTGCCATGCTAGGTGCAGCAGGCTTCTTAAGCCGGCTGGAAGAGGACAGACTGCTGCTGCTACCAAAGGAGGATGTCTGTCGATGGGCTCTGGCTGCAGGAAGTTGGGCCTATTGCCGGGCACTGCATACACAGCGCCTGCAGTGGGAGTGACCACTGTGGGACTGACATAGCTAAGCAGGACTTCTACCCTAGCTAACAATTCCCCTCCTTTCAGGAATTTCGATCTTAGGGCTAGGCATTCTTTGCTATTGAAGTGAGCCTTCTACAGGCTTACTAATCAGGGGTAGAACTTGGATGCTGTCCTTCTCTAGTCATGTGTGGAGGCTTGCCTGGAGCAGAACGCAAGGGGCAGGGTCTCACGCATGTGTGGGAGCTGACATAGTTGTGGGTCAGAGGCCTGATCTCCAATAAACCTTAGGAATTATACAGGAATGTGGAATATGCCCATTCTTGAGCTAGGTTCCTAAGGCATCCAAAGGTATGGTTTCTCTGAGTAAAGGGGAAGGGGTGATATGCTGCAACTATTAAAAGACCTTATTCAACTTGGTGTTCTAGCACCTTTGCCAGGAGAGCCCCTGTGTTGAGAAGACACAATCCTGGGCCCTTGGTTTCCTGGGATATGGTAGATTTGCATATTTCCTTGCCGGACCTGGCAGATGGCCCTCTGAGGCAGTGACCTTCACAGGCTGGTGGCTGGGTAAGAGCAGGAGAGGGCTGTAGCTCCGCGGCTCCCAGGAACGCAACACCCTTTCCTGAGCGAACTTGATAACTACGTTTGCCCTCTTGTCTGTGCAAGCCAAGTCTTTTATCTAAAGGCCCACACGTTCCTCCATGGACCCTTCTTCGGCCTCCAACCCTAAGGATAAGAAATGGAGTTGAGAAGAGCGGTGGGCTGGGGGTTCGGAGTGCACCCAACCCTTCGCAGTTCAGTTGTTTGCATCTTGTGGACGTCTACCCCTTCAAGCTCCAGATGGGTGGTCAGCTGGGTGCTTCAAGTTCATGCCCTTCAGTGTGGTGAGCCAGGCCACAGTCTTGGTGGGCAATGGCACAGGCACAGTCTGATATGGAAGTCTAGGGGCGCTATGGACTCCCATGCCTCCGGGTGTGGGTGCCTCCGCAGACCCGGAGCAGGCAGCTCCTCGCCAGGTGCGCTTACCCCCTGGCCAGCCTCCTGGGCTCCTCCCCCTCCGGTTCACCTTCTGCAGGGGGTGGGCCCTCGGGAGTTCTCGCGCGTCCATTGGCTCTGGCCGCTGCACCGTCTTGGCCCACGCACACCCCCATTGGGTCTTCACGGAGCCCACGTGACAGCGAGGATGAGGGGGCGGTGGCGGGGGGGCGGTTCTCAGCGAAAACAAAGATGGCGGCCGCGCCGGGGTCGGTGGCCGGGACGGCTACGGGGCAAAGAGTGGGCCAGGCCCACTGAGGCAGCGGAGCGGTGGGCAGGCTGCAGGGTCGTCGCGGCGGCGAGAGGCCGGCAGAGGCTCGCGGCGACCGTAACTTCCAGCCGGCGAGTGCGCTGGCACCCGCCTGCCGGGCAGGCCGGCCGCGATGTCCGGTGCCGAGGAGGCTGG